GGTTGTCCTGACACTCGCTGATCCACTACTGGGTGGTGCGTCTTCATGGATGACTCCCTCATCTCCTGCAAGTGCAAGAAATAGCAAAGTGTCTCTAAGTCTTCTATTGAAGCCGAGTATAGAGCTATGTCTTCTGCATGTAGTGAGATTGTTTGGCTGAAGCCTTTTTTCATGGATCTCGATACTCTTCTTCCTATTCCTATCCCTCTGTATGCTGATAACACCAACGCTATCAAGATCGCATCTAATCCTGTCTTTCATGAAAGGACTAAACATATCAAGGTGGATTGTCGCTTTATTAGAGACCTTCTTGTTGCAGGCTCTATATCTCTTCCTCATGTAGCCTCTCACATGCAGATTGCCGACATCTTCACCAAGGCTATGACTAAAAGTCGGCACCTCATTCTTGTGGGCAAACTGATGCTGATGTCTACGCATCAGTTTTAGGGGGAGTGTGAAGATATACCTTGATGTACATTATTAGAGTAGTCCTTGTTGTACAGTATTGTATTCTTATTATTTTATTTGTTCTTTTTATCTTTCAGCCCTGTAAGGGCATTCTTGTAATTGTACATATCTTTTATCTCTTTAATATAAAAGAGACTCTTTGGGATGGGGGTCGACTATTTTTGACACCCTTAATTCTGTTTTCTTCTTGCTCTCAATTCGGTTCACACCGAGCTATCTCACAGTCCTTGTCCCTTCTCCTAAAGACAACTCATGAACTATTCTGCCAATGCATAGATTTACACCTGTCCAGGGAAGGACTGGTTATTAAACATCTTAAGTATGTAGATAATGTTCTTGTATTTTTAAAGTATTTGATTAAGCAAGTTTTGAATTTAAGAGCAATGTTAGAAGGATTTGAATTATTATCTAAATGTGAACAAAAGTCTTATGTAGGGGTGGGGAATGTGGGGAGCTTTCCTTTTCCTACCTTGGTATTCCAATTGAAGCAAACACATTAGCTAGGTCTACATAGCAATTGGTTATTGATGTGCTTGAGAAAATATTGGTGGGTTGGAAGGGGAGATATCTTTCAATGGAAGGTAGAATTACTCTAATGAAATGTCTTTGGCAATTTCACCTATTCATTACTAGTCCGTTTTGAAGGTTCTGGCAACAGTTGTGGATCAAATGGAAAAAAGATTCATAGATATTTAAGAAAAAAACTTAATTTAGTACAGTGGGGATGTATGGAGGTATATCAATTATCAAAAAAATGGTTATATATATATATATATATCAAGGTTTAAAAATTTTCGATACGATACGCCTGATACGGGGGCGTATCGTATCGTATCTTTGAAAAACAAATATGGGATACGCATGGAAATCGGATGCCTCGTCTTTTTTTCATGCGTATCGGGACTGTATCGGGGTGTATCGGTAGCGTATCAATGAAAAAGATACGACTAAAAACTGAAAAAAAAATAAAGGGGAAAACAAGCTTCTTTTCCCTGAAATAAGCTTTCTTTCACCCCCAAATGACTCTAAAACTCCAAACCTCATTCCTAGAGTGCTAGATTTGCAAGAAACAAGTGTGAATCATTAATTTTTTGAAATGTTTTCAAATATTTTTGAAAAAATATGGCAAAAATAGGTAAGTTTTTTTCAATTTTTTATAATATCTTGTGATTTCTTTTTTTTTTTTTGAATGTTTAAATTTATGTTGATCTGCATTTCTTACATTCGAAATCACAATTTTTTTTTTGTGTTATTAATAGATTTATGGAAATTTCATAAAGATATTTGGGGAAATATAAATTAATAAAAAAATTGAAAATGTAATTTTTCTTTGCCTATAAAGACTAAATATGTTTTAGATTTATTGATTTATCTATCATATCCATAGATCAATTGAAATTTCTTCTTTAGTATTTTTTTTTTATTTTTTGTATTTTTTTAGAAATAAAAATAAATAATAATTAATTATATTTTATCATTTGACCACAACGATTGAATATATTATAATTATATGGATGATCTATCATATCCATAGACCAATTGAAATTTCTACTTTAATAATTATTTTTTTTTAATTTTTATATTTTTAGAATTTAAAAATAAATAAATAATTAATTATATTTTATCATTTGATCACAATGATTGAATATATTATATAATGTTTATTTATTTTTTATAATTTTTGAAAATAAATAATAAATACTTATTGATTATATTTCTACTTAGAAGTTGTGCCAATGCATGTTTTATGGTTGGATAGGAGAGTTAGGTTTTTTCCATCCCATAAAACATTAAAACTTAAGAATTATAATTTAAAAATTATAATTAAGCATAGAAATGTTAATGAAATTATAATTAATTACAATATATTTCTTCATAAAACCATTAAAATATGTTAATTTAATGTATATACACCTCATTGAGGTCTTATATTTAGCGTTATTGATGCATTTTTTATGATTTATTAAAGTATTTATAGTGTTTCCAAGTGTATCTATGCGTATCTTTGTTTTTCTCCGATACACATGCGTATCCCAATACGTCTCTTAGAATTGCCTTTCCGATACACTTGACGTTTCCAATACTTGAACCTTGATATATATATAATCAAATCTGCATCCAATTTTAAGCAGATACAAGTTTCAGAATCCAAGTCCAATCTGATTACAGATAATTTGAATCCAAAATAATGGGATCAGATTTCAGGTTGGGTATTGAACTTTTGGACTCTATAGACAGCCATAGGTATTACCATTTTTTTTTTTTTGGTTATGGGATAAACCAAGGTATAGGGTGGAGTTGTAATTAGAGATGGACCAGAGTCTGTATAATTTAATAAATTATATTTTTAAAAGTAAAATGTTACCTTATATTTATGATCAAAACTATGAAAAAAATATAGAACTATTGTTTATATATTTATATATTATACCATATGCACACTTTTTCTTATCAATAAGAGAAGATTTTATTAAAGTCAAACTTGAATATTACAGTAAGGTGGGAAATTTCTCCAATCCAAACAACAACTTTATAGCTTTGCCCAAAACCTTTGATAACAGCCCCTTGTTTAGTTAAAATATCCGCCATCCCATTATCTGTTCTTCTCACTCATTTAAAAGCAACATTCAACTCCCTTGCTATACTTCCAATTTCCTGAATTATGTGCCTATTAGATCCATGGGATTTGGGTACTGCATCTTGTCCAAGAAATGACCACCTGATAGTCCCCTTCCACCTCCAAATTGTGGAATCCAAATTGCTTAGCAAATTTCAGTATAGGATATTTTCTATGGGCTGGTTGGACAGATGGTTATAAATTCCATTTGTGAACTGGAACAAGGTCTTCTTGGCAAGAAAGTTGGGTGGCTGAGGGTTAGAAAGATAATGGTAGTAAACAAATCCCTCCTTGTAAGTGGTTATGGCGATTCAATAAAGAGAGTGGTAGCCTATGAAGGAGATAAATTACTTGAAAATACGGCTTCAGTAATAATGGATGGGATGCAGGGCCTTCTCCTTTGGGATGTGGGTTGTTATTAAGAAATCCCTACCTGACTTCCTAAAAGGAATCAGATATAAAATCAGGCTTGGTAGTAGAGTCAAGTTCTGGAATGATAAACGGTCTGGAGACTATACCCTTGCAGAAAAATTTCCCAGAACAGAAATGCTGAAGTGAGGAACTGCTTTGAGGTGATGCTTTGGGATCCAACATTCAGAAGGAATTTGAATGATTGGGAAATAAATCCAATGGTCGAATTGTTCATCAGTTGCAAGACATGAAACCCAACCCATTGGAAGAGGATGAAAGGCTGTAGAAATGGGAAAGGCTTTTCACTTTTTTGTCCAGTTTTTCTAGTCTACTCCCGCAGCAGCCTAATCACTTTCCACGGGCTAAAATTTGGAAATCTGGTGTTCCTTTAAAGGTGGCTTTCTTAGCCTGGAGGGTTACACTTGGCAGGTGTTTAACAAAAAGACCAGCTGGTAAGAAGAGGAATGATTATGGACAGTGACACCTATTCCTTATGCAATGAATGCTTAGAATTTTCGAATCACTTTTTATTCATTGTAAATTTTCTCATCACTTGTGGCCCTTGGCTTTTCAATGCTTTGGGTTTCAATGCTGTCTTCTGGAAACTGTGCTGGAGCTATTTAAAGGATGGAGAATTTCGGGCTTGTCTAGTAGAGGGAAGGTGCCTTTTGAAAACAAGTTCTCAGACATGGATATAGTAAGAAGTAATTTGAAAGGTCTATTATGTTCTTGGCTAAGCACTCATAAATCATTTCAGGGAATCCAGTCCAGCTCTTTTTTGATGCTGGATCTCTTTTTGTTTGATATTATGTTTTGCTTCTTTTTTATTGTACCTCTCTACTGTACAATCTCTCAATTTCAAGGCTGGTCTGGGAGGGGTTATTAGGACCTGGGCCGAAATGATCATCCTTAATTGTAATTGGTCCATTTATAAGAGAATGGGGGTTAGCTGCATGTTGTTTCTATTTTATCTTGATATCCCTTTTCAGAATAATAGAGTTAGCTTTATCTTGTTGCTTAACAAACAAAATCCCAATTCATGTCACTGACATCCTATTTGGTAAAATAGCATTAAGTTAACACATTGTGTTTGCAGGATCTTGTTTTCATTGGCTAGTCACACAATAATCATGTCAAATGCATGAATTTTGATTTTTGACTCCTCAAACTTGGGCTCTAACAAAATTTATGAACCTGCAACTTTCAAAAACTCTCAAATATGACTACCCTTTATACTACTGAGACTTTAAACTAACTGGACATATTCTTACAACACCTAAAAACTAGAAAATAACTCTTAAAAGATTCAAATGGTCAAAAAGAGGCAAATCCAATAATTAAATTGCCACTGGTGGAGGAATCCAGTGGAACTTGATTTCTATACTCAATATATTTTGTCACACATTTTTTCATCAAAAGAAAACTGTCCATCATATGGTAATTCACTCTAATGTGTTCTAGATGATCATATTCAGTTACATTTTTTTTCTTTTTTGCTTTGCAGGGCACATGAGCACATTGTCCTTGTTCACTACAGAGAAATTAGTGAAGTGAGTTACTGAAACCTGATAATAGACATGCATGTCTCATGATAGTTATGTTACTTGAAACTATGGAATTATATTTTGTATTGCAATTATAATCATTGTAAACTCATCATTTAATCTGTCATTTTGCACATATTCATTTATTCAGATGTTATTGTGCGTCTTTTGAATGTAAATCATAAAAGTGCTATGTGAAACATAATTGGAAATTGAACAAAAAAACTGCGTACAATGCTTAATGGAATTAAAAAAAAAATTGTTCTTTATCCCAACTATATGGGGTTATATTTATATAAACACCGACTCTTACAAGAGAAAAAAAAAAAAGATGTAGACATGGAAGCAAGGAAAGAAATCATGGAAGAAGAATTCAAGATTCTCCACCATATTCCTGCACCAGTGCATTTTTTTTTTTTTGTAATTTTTGGGTGGTTAAACTTTTAGACAACTTGAGGTTTTTAGAGTTATTCTATCATCTATTGGTGTCACAGGAATGTGGTTAATCATTTTAAAGGGTTCATTATCATCATCCTCGTCATTATCTAAGCCTTATCCCAAGTATATGGGGTTGACTACATGAATCTTGTTTCACCATTCCATTCTATTTAGTGGCAGATCCATTGTTGGTGTCACAGGAATATAGTTAATCATCATTTTAAAGGGTTCATCATCATCTAAGCCTTATCCCAACTATATGGGGTCAGATACATGAATCCTGTTTTGCCATTCTGTTCTATTTAATGCCATATCCATTGTTAAATTATGAGTGCTTAAATCATTTCTCACTACTTTGACTTATGTCCTTTTTGATTTGCCTCTTGGCCTTCTATCCCCTTGTACTTGTAATTGATTGCTTTTTCTTATGTGTGCTATAGGTGGTCTTCAACTTGTAACTGAACCATCTAAGTCTAGTTTCTGTAATTTTGTTAGCTAATGGAGCTACTCCTAGGTTCCTTTGAATGACTTCTTTTTTTTGCTCTATCCTTTTTAGTTTTTCCACTCATCCATCTCAGCATACACATTTATGTCACACTCACTATTTGGGCATGCTGTTTCTTGACCAGCCAACACTCTATTCCATACAACAGTGCTGCCCTTACAACTGTTTTATAGAATTTTCTTTTTGATCTATGTGGTATTTACTTATTACTTAAGACTCTAGATGCAACCCCCTATTTTGCTCATCTTGTGCTAATTCTATGGACAACATCCTCAATCTCTTCTTATGAATTATCAACCTAGGCATCAGAAAAATGTCACATTGAGTTATATCTTGGTCTTAAATCCTAAGTATACTTTATACTTAGGATTTAAGACCAGAGTAGCATAGCCATTGAGAGAAAGAGATAGGGTAAGGATGAACTTGAAAGTTGAAACCCCTGGAAAACAATAGAATCAAATTGAATTTTGATGGGAGCTCAATCGGAAACCCCGGGTTGGCAGGAATAGGAGGGGTAATCAGAAATGTTGGAGGATTTTGGCCTTGTTTTCAGGGCCAATCGGTATAGGAAATTCCTTGAAGGCTGGACTATTGGCACTACTATAAGATCTCCAGTTAGCAAAGCAGCTGGGTTTCAGAAGGGTTGAGGTGGAAGGGGACTCAAAAGTAGTTATCTCATGAGCAAACTACAACAGACGTACTCCCTGGATTCTCACACATGTAATAAGGGAAGTGGAACAGATTGCTAGGGACATAGAAGCAGAATTTAAATGGGTTAGAAGAAGTGCAAATGGGTTAGCTGATTCTCTTGCCAAACAAGGGGTTATGAGGCAACAACTGTCTTGGGCTTTTATGTAATGGGGGTTTGAAAATTGGGGATGACTTTCCTGTCATCAAGCTGCACTATTTAAGCCTCTAATTGAAATGAAGAAATAGTTGGTTAGCCACGAGTGTGGGGTTCCATACCCACACTCAGGCTCTAGTGTGTGCGGTTTCATACCCACACCTAGTTGTTTCTAATTTCTTTTATTAGTATTTTCTAATTTCTGTTATTAGAAGTTTCTAATTTCTGTTAACTTGGGCTGGCTGGCCTTATTGTTTCTAATTTTTTGTTTATTTCCTATTCTTGTAAGGATCCAAAAAGCTATAAATAAAGGAGTGTATGGGGCGGCAGATCATTCACCACCGAACCCCTTCTTTCTTTTCTCCTCTCTTCACTCTCTCTCTCTCTCTCTTTTCTTCTCTTCAAACCTGTAATACAGTAAACAGTTCTTCTTTTTTCAAGTTGGTATCAGAGCCTTAGATCTAGGGTTTCTCATGTGGATTTAATTCAGCTGACCACATGATAATTGTTTAGGGCTGAAAGTTCAGAAAGATCCTTATTTCGGCTGATTCTTGGAGGTTGCAAGAAGGCTTTAGCAGTTGTCCTAAGATTGGAGAGAGCTTCTTGTAATCAGGAAGAATGAGACAGAAATTGAGTGATCAAGATCGATTCTTGATCAAGATTGGAGGTGCCGATCAGTTTTTCTTGGTTCTTTGATCAAGATTCAAGGTGCTGACAGTAATTGATTGATCAAGTTTGAAGACTGAAGGTAGCAATCAGTTTTCTGGGCTTTTTTTTTCATAAAGTAAGTACCTTTTTCTTGAGATTGATATTCAAAAGGACTTTGTTATTCATTCAAAGAGGTACAGATAGAAAATCTCAGGACTGATATCAATCCCAGGACAGTAGTTGACTGTTACCTAACTGCAAAATCATTGTCCAAGGTCGGCTGTTTCAGCCTTGAAATACAACTTTTTCTTGTCACAATAGTTTAAAGCCTCTTCTTAACTTAGAATGGAGTACAAGAACCAAGGGGAAGGTGCTTTTGGGACTGGTGGT